AACGTTAAGTCTGAGTATTTTGTGTGTGTGACGGTTTTGGTGGTAAGGCGTGTAGGTGTGCGTCTTGAAGGTTTTTCACGCGAGACAAAAATGAAGTAGAAATTTTATCGAAAAGCAATTTAGCCGAGTCGTTTGTGTTCACGCGACAATCACAGATCGCGGGTCGCGTTTTCTAGATCCTAAGGATGCAAAAGAAAAACCTTCCTCTCGTGTGTTAAAGGTGTATTACACGAAAAAGAAAGACAAAAAATAGTAAAGACGGGGATATGCCGACAATGTACGTGTACTGTACTATATATATATATATACATATGTGTGTACATAATATCCCCGGTCCTCGCGAACTAATTCGTAGGATTGTGTAGCAGCCATCAAGAACCAAAACACAGACCGCCATCGCTCGTAATAAAAAGCATGGCGACCATTTTTATATATATATATATATATATATATATATATATATATATATATATAAATATTCTATACATGTGTAATGAGTATTTCAGTATGTAAAGATATAGTATTTATTTAGGTGATACTTGATTTCGCGGTCAGTAACGTCCGCGAAACACTGCCATTTCGTCCCGGGATAAGAGAAACGAAGAAATTGCGCAAAAATGTCATTATGAGAAAGAGAGAGTGATTTGAAGAAAAAATTGAAAAAAAAAAATTGAATAACCCTCGTTAGCCAAATTTCCATAAGTGCGAGTGCGTATTTTCTAACCTCCTGTTTCTCGAATGCGGATGGATAGGAAGGGAGAGAAAAGAAAGTAAAATGAAATTGTGAAGACATAAGCGAAAAGAAAGTCACACACGATGCCGAGTGGGGTTGTAGAGTAACAAGCAGATATAAGAGTGTCATAACGGCGGTAACTGTAATAAGGAAAAGACGATTAGGCGAAGTGGCCAGCGCTCCTCGGTCCCGTGTAAAGAGTTGGAGAAAATACAAAACAACAACTCTGGCAACGAATCGAGAGAGAGAGAGAGAGAGGGAATTTACAGAAGAGATATTAGGCTTAAACGAGATTGCGACAACTGTTGAGAATATCGGTGAAAAAAAAACAAACAAACTATTATCGTTCTACTTGAGAAAAACGGCCTAGACGCCGCCGTAGCTGCTTTTTTTTGTGTTAGCGAAAACACGACAAGATTCTATGAAGGCCTGACGGAATATTGAGAGCGACGATAAAGAGATTAAAGATTTAAAGAGTGCGCGCGCGTGTGTGTGTGTGAGAGAGAGAGAGAGAGAGCGACGTAGAGAAAGACAAAGGGGACATTGAACGAACAAAAGATTTTTAACGAGATAAAGATTTTGCGGGAAGGGAGCTAAGGTAAACAAAAAAAAAAAGAGAGAATATGAAAACCATAGGCATGTAAATAGCCGCTTTTTTGAGAACGTATACATAACGATTTAATTACGATAGAGCAGTAACACTTATAGATGCATTTTTTTAGCGTATAGTAGTCAGCCGTATCGAGAATGTAATATTACGAATAACATTGGATAAAAAGTATATAATAATAATGGAAGACATATATTTTAAATGGTATATTTGGGGTGATACCGAGTAATATTGTTTCGAGCGATATTGCGTGCTGATGGACAAGGTTAACCGAGAGGAGGCCATGCCGATGTTCTAGGGCGAGAAAAGATTTAAAGGGGG